GAGTGATTATATATACTAAAAGCTTACGGGGAATAAATACATTTTTCTGGTTTTATATATCGATGACATACAGCTAACTAATAACGATATAGGTTTATTGCACAAAACTAATAGATTTTAGATAAAGAGATTTAAAATAAAAGATCTTAGGATTGCCTTTTTTGTCTTTGGGATGCAGATATACTAAGATTGCTCTTGGAGTATTTTTTAATTATCACAAAAAAATTATATCGAAAAGGTTCTTAAGAGAGTTTACATGTAGGATTTTAAATCAGATGACACTCTTATGTCTAAAGGAGATAAGTTTACTCTAAGTCAATGCTTCGAGAATGACTTTAAAACTGAAGAAATGCAAAAGATTCTTTATACTTCGGCTATATGGAGTCTTATGTATGCTCAAGTTTATACGCATCAAGATATTGCGTACATTGTTGAGATGTTAGAAAAATATTTCAGCAATCCAGGTATAAATTAGTGGAAAGCAATGAAACATTTCATGTGGTATCTACCGAAAACGAAAGACTACATGTTCATATACATAAGGTCATATCAGTTGGAGATCATAGGTTATTCTGATTCTGATTTCGCTGGATGCCAAGACAACAAAAAATCCACATCAAGCTGCATCTACTTGTTTGCTGATTGAGCTATTTCCTGAAATAATGCTAAGCAAACACTCATAGCTTCTTCCACCATGGTAGTAGAGTTTATATCATGTTATAAGGACCACTTAAGTTATTTTTTTTTATAATAAATCTGCAATCATGTATTTCAAAAAGAACAAGAGCTCAACAAAGTCAAAGCAAATAAACATCAAGTTCTTGGTTATTAAAGAAATAGTTCAGAGTAAATAGATATTAATAAAGTACATCAGAACGAACTCTATGATTATGAATCCACTCACTAAGGGATTACCACCTAAGGTCTTTCATGAGCACATTGCTCATATAGGTGTTGTATCCTTTGAAGATGTATAGTTTCAATGGAAATGTTGTACTATAGTTATTTTTATGATACATACATGTCTTAAGTTTTGTATTTTGGATATGGTTTATATATTTGATAATTAATTTTAGTTATACTGTTTTGGTTTATATTTTAGCTGTGATTTTGCTTAAAGTTGATCTCACTAAAGTTTAATGAATGACTAGTTAGAAATAGGCATGCTAGGATCACATAGTATGTAATTTTCATGCTGCACATTCATGTTTGATCCATGTTATTCGGTTGTATTGATATATGTGACTATTGATGGGTTTAACTACGATAGTTGTAGCGAAAACTGCTTTGATCATATGTTAATATGATTGATGGACGAATTGTTTAAGAATGCATTCAGGTATTAATAGCAAAATATTAAGTCCTCATAAAGTTGTTAATGCACAATTATAAGGGGACCATATAGCCTAAATGAGATATTGTTAGATTTTAATCACCAGTGTGGTCTTATATGTGCGTTTATTGTGCATAAATAACTATCAATTTAATTGAATCTGTTTAAATTTAATTTGTTAAGATTAAACAAATATTGAACCTTGATGTATCAAATAAAGTGTGGGTCTTTTAATATGTGTAGAGACTAAAGTATTATTTCTAATTTTATGATATGTCAAATTAGAAATAATGAAAACTTAAGAATATAATAGCCAGTTATAGTCCCCAAATCACATGAAAGATTTTTTTTTTTTATTTTGTTCTTTCGTCACTAGGAATAGAGAGAATGTGAAAATGCCAAAAAATCACGTATTGATTTAAAAGATCTACTGCAGGATGTGCAGATTTATTCCACTATGGATTCAGGTACGTTTTTATTTCAGATTTAATTTCTTAGATTTAATATGAGTATGGTGATTTACATTCAGATCTAATTTTGTGAAATCTCTATAAGTTATTCAACCAATTATTATTGACCAAGAATTAAAGCATATTTAAGACTAAACGAATGTTGTCAAATAAAAAGTACCTCAATAAATTTTATCTGATTTGAAATTAATTGAAATTTACCAACGCAACTAAAAACTAATTTCATTCAAGATTCATCCCATGAGTAAAAAGTTATTTTATTTAAGATAAAGTGATTTCATAAATCAATGTGCTTAAAAAAATTGAATTAGATATACAAAATTTTTACCTCATACTTCATTTTAAAATTTATAAAATCATCATTTTACAATAAGTTTTGTGTTATTATTTTTTAATCGAAAAGTATATAATTGCATATTTGTTTTAAATTAATTTTCATAAGAATTTCATAGTTCTTGAAATATCATATACAAGTTTTTGGGTTGAGAGTTAAGGAAACTTAAAGTTATAGAAACATATAAAAATGCCTAATTAAAGAATTGATAATGTAAACATTATTTAATATATATATAAGTTAAAAAATGTCCTACTTTTTTTAACTAAATAATTACTAAACAAAAGGTGTATTTTACGACAATAAATTAAGAAAGTTTTTGGTAATTATATTTAAGTTCATAAAATATTAATTTTCTATTATCTTATATTTAAATTAATTAGTATATGTTTTAAATAAATTTTATAAAAAGTAAATAATTTATACTACATGTAAGTGTAATCATATGTAGGGAGGGAAAGAAAAAGAGATTAAAGAAAAGGTAAAACCAGTTAAATTATTGTATTTTAAATAAAACAAAAAGGAAAATATATACACACACACACACAGCTACAAGTGATCCAAGGAAGGTGAATCTATATAATACTCACGTGCTCAAAATGAAAATATTAATAAAAAACAAGAGGTGGATTTTAATATTTTTCAATTTCCACATAGCTGCAGCCTCACTCTCTATGAGTTTGCAGGACGAATACTGCTAGGGTTTGATCATCCCCCTCCTCACCGATGTTTATATTTCTCTTCCTTTCCCTTCCTCAATCACTGTTTCTATTCACATGTCTATACACGTATACACGCGCTTGTTTTTGGTTTTGCTTTTAATTTTCTTGTTGCAGCTTTCTACCATATGATTTTTTTTTTCTTTATGTTTTTCGATTGAATCTGCGTAGGATCTTGCACAGAACTAAGCTTTTTTCTAATGGGACTTCTAGATTTTCTTCAGATCGAATCTGATTTACCTGTTACTTGTGAGTTTCATCTGCAACGTTGTCAAGCGTCAGTTTTTTTCTACTTGCCTGCCCCTGATTTTGTTTCGCCATTCATTTAGTGAGTGTATTCCATTTCATAATCTTCTTTGATTTTCAAGCATGTGTGCTTTGTATGGCTGAGTGTAGGCGGATGTTGTTATGCACTGAATTGACTCCAACGGATTAATATCATGAACATGTAGTTGTAGTTATTTGCATGGAGGACTAAGGTTATCTAATTTGAATTTTGAGATTTAATATATTTGATTTTCTTTTTCAATTTGATTCCTGCACTTGCTCTTATACTTTGCTGCTGATTAGGGATTTTTCTCAGTCAGTTCTTTTTGCTAGTTTCTAGATGTGTGTAGGGTGTTGAAATTTCTTAATTGAGTTTCCGCTAGAATTTTGCTATTAAGACCATGGATTCATTATATAGTTTTAGGAACTTGTCTGGTCTATTAGGGGTCTGTTCCCTGTTCATTTTTAGGATTCAATTTCAGCTTTCATATGCCTGCAATTAGCCAATTTCCTACAGTTGGTTTGAGAAATTTGACTGGGGTTTGGACATGATGCCCTTAATCATTCCCAAGTTATATGAATTCTTTGCCCACTTTGTCTGACATGTGCACTTATAATGATCTATCTAGAAAATATGATGTTCAGATATCCCAGGGCTGGATCTGATTGCACATCTTTGAGAGGCCATATATGGATGATATTTGAACCTTATTTCTTCTTATATAATGGACATAACCTGTCTTTACCTTACACAACATTTCCTTAAAATTGACTTGCATGCAGGGATGTCCTTTGACATGGTTGTCTCATTACGTGGAGGTTTATGTCATTGAGAGTATTCCAAAGCGTGGATTTCTGACTCGTATTTCAGTAAGCCAGTAACATATAATGGAGGACGATAATGGACTTGAACTTAGTTTGGGCCTGTCATTTGGTGGATCATCGGGCAAAGGGAAGGCTAAAAATTGTAGCTCCTCAGATATTTGGACTGAAGAAGGCGACAAAGGCAGTAAAATAGTTGGTGATTTCAAAACTTTTCTTCATTCAGGAACCCACAAACAGGATCCTAGTACTGGGTCTCAGAGAAATGATTCAGTTAAACCTAAAGAAAACTTCTTTAACAACCTCTCAAGGGCCACAGCTGAACCAGATGCTTCCATGAACCGAATTTGGGTTACAAATAATAGTAGGTCTGCAGACCTTGAGGAAGAGAAACAGTCTGACGCAGGGAATAAACGGAAATTATTGTTCAATGAGATGAACAGTCAAAAGAAGCATGAGAGAGAGCCACTTACTGATTTGCATGACAAAGCAAAAACTCCACATTTGTCCATAACCACAGAAGATGGCTCCACTGCCGAAAATGAAGATGTGGCAGAGTCTGAAGTTGAGGGTTCAACTTCGAGGGTTTCATTTTACACCACGAAGATGGCTCAAAAAGATTTGTTGGAGTTAGTAGTTCTTCTGAGGTATCAAAGGAGGTTCGTGGGTTTTCTGACACAAATGTTATGGATTTACAAGGTAAAAAGACATTTAGTGCTTCGGGAGAAGATGAGTTTAAGCTTGGGAATATGACTTATGGCATTCCATTCTCTGTTCAGTCTGCAAATGTCATGAATGTACCGTATTCATTGCCTTCAAAGGATCCTAACTCTGGTGGTGCACCCAGCACGTCTGGTCACTCGCTATCTGGCATAGCTCAGATGATGCCTACCACAAGCAGTGAACGATCAGGAGCCCAGTCTGTAAATCCTGGAAACTTGCCGGTTATGTTTGGTTACTCACCTGTTCAACTTCCAATGCTGGATAAGGATGGTTCCTGGGGTTTAGTTTCTCATTCACAACCCTTTCACCCTTCCTACGGCAGTAGAGGTCCACCAACCTCAGATAAGCATAATGACAGCTTAAAGATATCTCAAGGTATGTTTTTATGCACTTCTCTATTGTACAATGCATTAACCAAAAGAGGCTAGATATTTTTTAGATGGTTAATCTTTACATCATATGTCATATAGAGAACTCAACTCATTCTGAGAGCATATCTATCATAATTAGAATGTTGACTTTGACTAGTATTCTGTTAGCCATCTCATACTTTGTTGCCTAACTGGGAAGTTTGATCGATTAACCAGATAAATACTCCTACATTGCATTTGATTTGATTCCTGTAAGATTCATATTAGTCTTATTATGAATTCCTAGTTCAAAGTTTCATGTTAGTCTTATTATGAATAACTAGAATAAAATTGATTACATTTAAGTTACTACAGGGCACCGTGAATTCGTCGATGGTAGGACTTCAATTCCTACCTTCATTGGTGGAAATTGAATTTTCGCTGCCAAGGACTTCAAAGTGAGGGTATATGTAACTAAAACATCACCCGATTCTAAATTTGTTGATGATGGAAATTCAATTCTTAAATTTTCACCATCAAGGCAGTCAAAGTGAGGTTGGTTGAGATTAAACATCACCTATATATTCTAACTATACATACTGAAACTAAGATAAGAATTCGAGCTAGGAACTGAATAAAAATCAAACCAAACACAAGTTAAGACATGTCAATCCAAGATATACCCATTATATATTTTCAATTTCGGTAATAAATTTATTTAGGCATGAACATGTGAAGCACACATAATGTGCTGGTGTCATGTATGTGCTTATTGATTTCAACGTCAAATAATTGTTGTAATTGTGAGTTTTGATTGCCTCTTGCAATGTTATCATGCTCCTTTGAATTCTAGGTTAGATAATACTTTTGTTCCAATGTAGTTTTGGAACTTATTTTGGAAAAGAAATATTTTCTTTTGTGTTTAAACAGCTGCCATGCAAGCAATTACACGTAATTCCTCCGATGGTACACTTTATGATGGGAGGACTATAGAGCGGACGAAAGCTGAAGGAAAAATGCAAGCTGGCGAGGAAGGCTTCTCCAGTCAGACAGAAGATGTGAAAGGAAGCGGCATAAACCTTAGGGTGAAAGATCCATCTGAGAGGCCAGGAGCAGAAAGTTTTTCTCTTGACTTCTCAGAGATAAAGCCTGGTATTGCTGCAGACTTGAAATTTGGAGGATGCGGGTCATGCCCAAATTTACCATGGGTATCTACTACAGGTTCTGGTCCAAATGGTAGAACCATATCTGGCGTTACATATCGATTCAGTGCAAACCAAATCAAAATTGTTTGTGCTTGCCATGGTTCTCATATGTCTCCGGAGGAGTTTGTGCGGCATGCGAACGAAGAATATGTTAGCCCTGAAGGGGGAACTGGTTTGGCTACCTTCCCAAGCACCAATCCTGCTGCTTCTGCTCATACCTGAAATGTCCAAGTCACCGAGGGAAAGCTGGGTACGGGGTTTGCAGTAGTAACCGGTGAGATTTCTCACAGTTTCACTTGTTTATCTGTTTTAAGTTTGTAATAATGATTTTGATTGTGGAATAGTAATTTTGAGCAGTTGAAGTCTGCGGGTGTGTATTATATGTTTTATAATGATAAAGATTAGTGTAGAAGTGAGGTGTTTGTGGTATAGAATAGGAAAGTAGCTGAGTGGATGATGCAACTACTACATCTTCTATCTTGAATTGTGTGGTTTCCTTTTTCAAAATAGAAAATTTGGGAGGGATATAATAGGACGTGTAGAAGAGAAAGATTGTGGTATTTTCGTACGAGTCACGCATATATGAGTTGTAATGCGTGTCCAAGTCATCTGCATGTGTCAATAACAAATACCTGCCGGATTTTCTGTGATTGTTTGGGGATTAAGTAAGGGAGAGAGAAACCTAACCTGTGCTTTATCATATTTATATATACATGCATATATATATATATAATTAACTATTTTATGTTACCATGACACCTTTAACCCATTATTTTTTTTTCATTTAATATTGGGTTAAGTAATGAAAACTATTTTTTCCTTTCAATTCTAATTATATTATTATAAAGTATTTTGCGAGTAATTGCTAATTATAATACCAAATACCCACAAATTAAAATTCAAAAAAAAAAAAGAAAGAAAATAACATGACAAAATTAAATACATGATGGACTGATTAATTCCCATTAATTGAAAGAAGAAAAAAAATTGGAAAAGAAAGGGGAAGCTTGTAAATGTTTTATTTAATTATATGAGTTTATAGAAATACAATTCCTTGATTATTATTATTATGTAGGGTATCAGAATCATAATTTTAATTTCAAACTTGGTATATTCCTTTTTCTACATCACAGATTATCGGTTTTAGTTTAATTAATGTTAAATATTTGCTTATATCATTTTTAATTAATTAAATATTTATTCTCATACTAATTTTGTTAAAAGTGTTAGTACAGCTTTTAAGCTGACAGATCAATGAGGATCAGCTGTCAGCCCAGCTGCATGCAGATATAGACCGCACCTATCATCTCCTTTGACTTTTTTTTTTTTTTTTTTTTTTTTCCCCCAGTACATAGAGACATATATATATATATATATATATATCACCAACATTGACGTTTTTTTTATATATTGCAAACTAGACTTTTCTAGTACGTTATTCTCTTCTCCAACAAATACATTTTCATTTTCAATTTTTTAAAATAAAGATTTATTTACCAAAGCATATGAAAGTAACAAGTACAAATCTAGTATATATAAGTATAGGTCAAAATAGAAAATGTCAATTCCAATATTTACCAAAGTCCGTATTGTAAATACATAATCCCACAATTTAATTTTATGACTTGATAACTGCTGCCACTAAAATTAGTATTATTCTTTCCTTATACAATATAAATATATCAAAATCATTTTATTATTTAAATAATAACTCTTTTTTAAAATCTTAAAAGATGCCGAATTAAAATTCTATTCTAACTAAATTAAATGTGAAGTTCAATATTAGTCAAATTAATTAATATTTATATATTTCGATACAATAACAAAATATTATTTGTAATAAATAATTTTATTGATTGGTTAATTAATCACATTTTATTCACGAAATGAATTGGATTAGTATTGCACTTAAAACATATATATCTCTGACCTGAGATGTACATATGTAATCATAAACCACACACTCATATATAGAAAATAGTACAAAACAAAATAACCCACCAAGTGAGAAAGCATATATATATATATATATATATATACATATATGTATCATAATAATTAATAAATTAAAATGGAAAGGTGTCCACGTTGTCGTCACTACGGAATAAAAAAGCTGAAAAACCTAATTTTACCATTTTAAAACTCATGTTTGAAGTGAAGAGCCCGCAAGAACAGGTAAAGGAAGAAACCAAGAAAACTGACAACACCAAGGATTCTCTTCTGGGTATTGCTATTTATAAAGGTCCCACCCTTAAAACCCCATTCACCCATTCCCTACAACATATATATGTATATATGCAGACACACACACACACACACACACACACATATATTATATGTCAAAGAAATGTTGGCCGGAGCTCATCACGTACTATAGATCAATTTTATCTGTGCTTGACTTTGGTACTTCACTAATGGGTCCATTTGGTTGGATGATTA